AAATTCAAATCGAAGAATCAAAAATCATACAAGCTAATGACTTCGACGAAGTAGTAAGACAGAGCACTTCTCTGGAAGGAGAACATCCTTGTTGTTCAAAAGACTGTCTAGGTTTGAAAAAACAACATTATCTGAAGCAGGTATGATTTAAATGATATTATATAAACTTGAAGTTGTGTATCTTTCATTATTGTTGTTATATTTAATTAGTTATAAAAATACTTATTTACCTTTATGTATGTAATTACGAAAAATATTATCTTTTACTTAATACAATTGTCATACTGTTAATTTAATGTAGAAACGTGTTACAACACCTTTCCTTTCCATGCATTTAAGGAAAACGTTTTTATTTATTATTATAAATTTTTTTACTGCTAATGTTATATGACATAGTTCATAAACAATATTATTCGCTATAGATTAATAATAAAAATTTTTTAACACGTCCCGCTTTAAAAAGAAACCTTAAATTTGAAATAATGAAGAAGTGTCACGTTTCCTTTTTTCTTAAAACAGCCCAGAATACACAGTTTTTTTTACTGTTGTGGTATAAATTAGAATAAAACAAGTTACTAAGTATTTCAACAAATCTGAATAGATTTTGTTTGTTAGTTTAAGCAGAAGTATAGAGGAGGATATCTAGTAGGTATTCTAATATCTATTATAGTATGTCTATAAAACTGTTTATGTCATATGTCCAAATAGAATTCTTTCTTCTTTCTTAATAAAAAAATAATTTTATATTGACGTATATTTTTTATATTACAGGAAATATTATACTTTTCGAAATTTTTACAAAAGACCTTAATTCATATACAGAAATCAAGTTGGATGACATTAGTAAATCATTTAAAAATCCTTTAAATGATACGAAGTATAAATTAATCGGCATTGTCATATATAAAAGGCCTCTTATTACAAGAACCATACAAACAATAGGGCATTATACGGCAATGTGTTTGAGATTTGGACAATGGATAGAATATAATGATTTAGAAAAAAAAGAAAAAAAAAATTAAAGAAACATCTTCAATATCACCTGCTCTATTAATTTATGTCACTCAAAACTATTAAGAATTTAATATATACTTTATTATACCGTTTAATATAATAAAAAACAATTATATATACTCTGGATATTACATTAAATTTAAACCATAAAGATCAAACTATGCTGTTTGTGCTTAATAGCTGAATTATTAAAACAACGATGAACAATAAATCATGCATTTTTGAGAAAAATTATAAGAGCAGGAGCACAAAATCTGAAACTTCATATTTCGGCGGCACAAATTATAATGCTTCTAATGTGGGAGCAGCAACCGATTCTGCTCGTGGAGATGGATACTTTACTCTTGAGCGTAAGAGGGTTCGAGGGTAGTTTTCGGAGGAACGGCTGGAGCACAAAATCTGAAACCTCATATTTTGGCGACACAAATTATAACGCTTCTAATGTGGGAGCAGCGACCGATTCTGCTCGTCGAAATGGGTACTTTACTAGTTTACTCTTGAGCGTAAGAGGGTTCGAGGGTATTTTTCGGAGGAACGGTTGGAGCACAAAATCTGAAACTTCATATTTTGACAGCACAAATTATAACGTTTCTAATGTGGGAGTAGTGACCGATTTTGCTAGTGGCGAAGGGTACTTTACTCTTAAATGTAATAGTGTGCAATTCAATTAGGGGTTATTTTTTGCGGAATGGAGCTATATATTAATTTTTTTTTCGATAACACAAATTAGCACAAAATCAGTACTATTCAATCCTTATTTTATTTTTCTTTTTTTTTCGCGTGGTCCTGCCAGCTTAATGTTAAGCTAGCAGCGCCATACATTTCTACTAAATGGCACGTGGTTGATACAAAAAATTGTTTTTTGTATCACAAATTAGCACAAAATGAGCACTAAATAGTTCAAAAAGTCTTTCTTGATTCTGCCCATTTGGTCCTGCTAACTTGACAGAGGTTATCTTTCTGATAATTGGTGGATTCCACGTCGAAAAAACAAAAAACGTCGAAACTACGTTCTTCGTCTTCGACGTCAAATTCACCGTTCTTAATCTTTTGAAACCACTCACGGTAACTTTTCTCACTTAAGGCAGCCTTACCATATGCTTCTACAAGCAATCGATGCGCCTCAGCTGCACATTTCTTCAAATTAAAGAAGCTCCCTCAAATGACGCTTATTCGGCTCAAAACTCGACATTTTCACACGAAAAAAGATATATGATGCTGATACAAAATCGCTAATATTTCAAGGTTATGTTGTTGCCAGATGTCCAACCTTATGATATGATGTTTTACAGCAGACAATTTTAACCATAACATACTAGTGGCGCCATCTTTTGTCAAACTGCGGAAACTTATTTATTCTCCTAATAGCTCAAATTACTCGTGGCGATGCCGCCTTTCAGGATATACAGGGTGTCCCATTTTAATTGTCCACCCTAAATAACTTTCTTATTTTTGATTTTAGAGAAAAATGTTTCAGACACAAATTGTATGGCTTCGAGAGGGTCACAAGGTGGTACCATTGGTTTGACCTTGGATAATCATTTGAAAATTACATGAAGGTTACCTTTAATTTCTTAAATAGAACATACCATTTTTTATTACATATTCTCGTAGCTTATCCCGAGAGCTTTCCAAAACGCTACAATAAAATATTTTTCTAGTGTACTTTCCGAGTTATAAAGCTTTAAGTTTTGCGGTATTTTAATAAAAATACAAATTCACTTCTCCCCCCCCTGTAGTCTTATCTTACATGATCCAGCCAGTCAAGGCAAGATGAGTTTTTGTACAATTAATTTTGGTGTTCAAAAACTTGGCCATCTACTTGTATGCATAATTCAAGTCTATGCTGAAAATCGTTCCTAACTCAATAATCTCGAGGGATCTGTCTTCTACTGATTCATAAATATGTGAAAGGAAGTGTACATCTTAGTATTTTCATTACATTTATTCTTGTTACATTGTACGTATACACTGTCAGTTACGTGAAACCCACGTGCAACAGTACAGGGATGTAACTTTCTATGCGAAAATTCCATGATTGTACTGTTGCGCTACGCACCTATGCATACACTTTACAACATAAAGAGACATGGAAGTTACGTTAAATTTGTATTTTTATTAAAATACCGCAAAACTTAAAGCTTTATAACTCGGAAAGTAAACAATAGAAAAATATTTTATTGCAGCGTTTTGGAAAGCTCTCGAGATAAGCTACGAGAATATGTAATAAAAAATGGTATGTTCCATTTAAGAAATTAAAGGTGACCTTCATGTAATTTTCAAATGATTATCCAAGGTCAAACCAATGGTACCACCTTGCGACCTCCTCGAAACCATACAATTTTTGTCTGAAACAATTTCTCTAAAATCAAAAATAAGAAAGTTATTTAGGGTGGACAATTAAAATGGGACACCCTGTATAACGTTCGATTCAAAATTTTTTACATTTTGTAGTTATGCATCCCCGAAGAATGGACTTTGGCGGCTCGGGATAAGAAACTTGTAGTGTCTTTCAATTTTTGAACATGGCCGGAGACACTACCGCGTTAAATCTAAAAAATTTTCAGAAACTTTACGAATACCGCGCAGATATAGTATTCAAAGTTGCCCGCATAATTGCACTTCTGAATGAAGAGTACAGTATGCGCAACGTGTTATTGTATCTGTATTTGTAGTGAATAGAGCACATTGTTTTACGCTAATGTCGGCGGTAACCGTTATTTTTCAGAAAATAACAAGAGCTTTTCGAAAGTCATGATTAAAAAAAGATATCACATAATGATTCTTTAACTTCAAGATAGAGTAACTTCGTCAAAAATGGTTATAATGAGATTTTTAAAAAAGCATTTTAAAGATTGAAATCTTTACTTTCAAAGTCGGTCATTGATTAATAACAAGAATAATCAGGCTAATGAGAGCTATTCCGCGGTTATTGGTGCGACTATATATAAGATATTAGAATGTGAATATTATATACCACGTAAGTAGTTCCCCCCCCCATTGCGCGCCGAACATCCGTCGAACTTAAAACGCAAATCTATTAACTACCGTAGTAATATCACAAATTTTTGATGCTTATAGCATCTAACAAGATCTTAATAATATGTTTAAAGACATATTAAAATCTTAAATTAAATATTAAAGAAAGAAATAAATTTAAAACTGAGAAAAATAAGAATTTGTGAAGAATATCACGAGTTGGCGTTTCGTCCCGGCTTCCACTACTGGACTCATCAGTAAGGTAATGTAGTGGGAGCCTACCTTAGACGCCTGGGAGAGATGTTAGAAAGAAGTTCTATATAAACAAATAATCATGTAATTCAGCACTTGCGAGAATTGACAAGATTAACTATAGACCTCTATTGGCAAGTCGACGTAATGATATTCTTCACAAAGTACTTAATTTTTTTAAATAATAATTTGAAAGTAACAAACGCATCTTCCAGCCAGCGTATATTCAACAAATAAATTAAAGAAGACTCTCGAAAATTTCAAATAACAAGAATAATCAGGCTAATGAGAGCTATTCCGCGGTTATTGGTGCGACTATATATAAGATCATTGATATTTCAATTTAACTGATCTTTGACGAAGCTATACGGATACAAATGGATATCTGTCAAATCTAAAAAATACCGTATAATTTTGTACAAATTTCAGAAAGATCTATGGTGTGAGGTGAAAATCACACAAATATGTCGTTTACAATAGTCGAAAGAGTGAATCTTTACCTTTAATTTGCTTTTTAAATGAAAGTTCTATGATTTTTTTTTCACCGAATTATTGAATGTTAAAGCAAAAGTAATCACTTTTTAAAAACAAAAAATTTCAACTACGAATCGAACCTTTACACTTTGTAAGCAAAAAATAGTGCGATTGAATTTATATTAAACATACAAATGCGTATAAAACTAATTATTTCTGGTAAAATTAAAGAACAAATGATAAAGTTTGTGTCAAGCCATTTTTTAAATCAAACTTTATTGTTACCAGTCAAAATTTATCATACCTTCTGTGAAAGGATATGGTTGTTCAGCAAACTCGTACCAGAAACGATCTCCTTTTTGCAAACGTACGAACTGATTAAGAATCAAGCACGTAAACGTGGGTCCTATTAAACTGTCCGGCTCTGGTATTTCCGCTAATGCACCGGTATACAAATCTACATCATCTACAGTCTCGTAGAGATCTGACATCTGTTTTAGAACTTGATGATCCAAGTAGCCTTCAAGGTTATCAAAAGTTTCTACCTTTCCTAGACCACAATATTCCCGCCAGACAGTGTATCCTGGTAATCCATGATCCCGTCCTCGTTGAATATTTAACGACACCAAATCAAGGCCGCATGGTATCGTAGAATTAGCCATGGGATCCTCAAAAAGATGATTGGTCAGTTGCGCAGTTACGTGCGTGGAATACCTCTGAATAATATTGGTCGTGGCTGAGCTGACTGAATGTCTGATGCCATCCTCGGCGTAAAGGCTATAAGGGTTGAATAGCATTTTGTGCAGCTCTATGTAGGACGATGTGCCCTTTTCATCGTCTGTCATCTTCATCAATCCCGGCAAGAGAGTGTGAGCAAAACGGAAAGCTGCGGTCGCGAAATTATTGGCGACCGTTGGATCGTTCTTTAACTCGTCCGGATTGTGTATTCGTTTTTTGTAGCCCGACACAAGGAGCTCCAAGTCCTGCTCATTCATTCTTTTATCGCCTAGGATAATGGGCAGAAATTCACGATAAGTGATGTGCTGCAACTGAGCTCCGACAATACGTCGTGTTTCCTGATACAGTATCTCATCGTTCCAAACGGGATTGACTTTGGCCAATTCGTCTGCTATCCTGTTATGCTGTCGCGCCCAGAGAAGGTGCATTGTGGTTAAGTGCAGATTCTCGTTCGCCCTGGCATCACCCGCGGCAAAGCAATATTGGCCACGACGTCGTTCGGCTTCCCGATTGCAACCGTCATTGGGATTCATGCTCGGTGGCAGCAGAGTCCTATTGTCGGGAGTGTACTGCATCCTCAAACGACCACCGATGAATTCGCGCAGATTGTAAGCAGTCTCGTTATCGGAGCCATAAATAGCTGAGCCATCAATGAAGGCGCTGACCTGAACACAACGTTGTCTACATAATCTCTTTCTTGTCTCTATCGCTTTTGACGATCAGAATAATTTTCAAATCTATGTTTATATATTCTGATAAGACGCAATATTCTTGCAATAATCAATCATAGTGTAAGGGCAAAGAGTCAAAATAAATTAAATAAAACTGATAACAAATTTACTTATAAAATAAAACCAAATACATTACAATAAATAAGCAATTTACAACAATTATTTGACTTAAAACTAATTAAACATTAAGTGATCAGTTTCGACTCTCTAATTGAGTCCTCTTCAGACTTCACTTCATACTCATTAATGGATAAGATTATAAATTTATTGTAGAACAAATAATAAGATATTGTTGATGAAAGATTAATAATTGGTAAGTTAAAAAAACTTTCTGTAAATTTAAAATGTCAAGATATACAAATTAATAATTAAAAGTCAAGATTTAAAAAACTAACCAAAAACAGTCACAATACATTCGGATATTAATATAGATAGTGTCCAATAATTAAAAAGAGGTGTCATAGATAATACATTGTTTAGTTGATAAAATAAAATACAAAATAAATAGTGATGAAAATTATACTTTATGAGCACATTGGAAAGATGTAGTGATTATAATGAGGTATCGAAACAGACTGAGAGAAAGGAAGACAATCAAAATGACACCGAAAGTTCATACTTTATTTATCATAGGTATATATGCCTTGTGAAGACCTTCGGTATCAGTTTGTAAATTTAAATTGAGTTTTTGTTTCTTAATATTAAGCATCTCAGACACCACACGTTTTCTATAACAATGTTCCTCGTTTAAGATCTTTACATCATCCCAACGTAAATCATGGTTATAATTTAATCTATGATCAGTAATAACTGATCGAGTTGTTGTATTATATCTAATATGATTACGATGCTCGTCTATTTATTCTAGTCTTTAACTGTCTTCCAGTCTGTGACATAAGATGTTTCGCAATCGTTACACTGGATTTTGTACACCACATTACTTCTGGATGTGTCGAATGTCTTTATGCACTTTAATATATTATATTTGCGCATTATTTTATTTGGACTAAAAAAAAATACCCTGATTGTTATTTAAGCGTTTAAATTTTTCTGTATGAGATGGTATGAATGGTACTGTAAGCCACGAAGTCATTTCTTTATTGACATTTATGTTATTTTTCATCACGCGTGCACGTAATGTGCCCAATAACTCAACGCTTTTGCGTGCGGTAAATAGCCAATTACTCAACGGCTTGAATTATTACTCTAACCCCACTCTTCTGCGCAAAAACGTTGGTGTATTGGGCACATTACGATGAGCACTTGTAATGAAAAATTCTGTGTGTAACTCATATGCTCAGTTGTTTATTGTGCGGCACGGGCGCGGGGGAGCGCACTCGCTTCGTTCGTGCTCCCGCGCCCGCGTCGCACAATAAACAACTTACCATACATGTTACACAATTAGCCCAGTCCCCGGGGATTTTTTTACCATTGTAAATTCCAATAATCTCCGGATTGATGAAATTTGGTGAGATGGTGAATTTTGATGTACAAAATAGTAATTTATGTTTGACGTACAAAATTTAGCATGGCTACGGTCGCCATATTGGAAAAACATCAAAAAAATCGAATTCTTTTCAGAATTTCGGCAATAACGTTGAAAATATGTATTGTACGGAAATTAATGTGGTATACAAAATTGTAGCTGATAAAATTCTGCACAATTTCTGTTTTTAATCAACTTTGTAGCACTAATAGAACTGGAAATAGAATTTTTTTAAAACTGAGATATTTTGTTACTTTTCGAACAACTTACGTTTCTTCGCGCTTGAAGCACAAATTACGCTAAGATGGCGGCTCGTAGACAAAAATGCTTCAAATAAGATCGGAAGGTAATTTATTACCCTTCAAATTGTTTTTTTGAAGAACCTCCTACGACCAATACTTCCCGAGATATAACCGCTTGAAACAAATTTTCTTACAAAATTTTATGCGAATTTTCGACTTTCTCCGGTAATAAATCGGAAATGACTACTTGTACGATAAAAAGTCATCAAACATAATCAAAAGATAATTAAATTTGCTACATTTTACATCGAGCAACGTTTTATTATTATCAAAATTACTTCTTAAATATAACCATATTTGGTAAAATTTACGATTTTCTCGTATATAATATATATATATTTGTACATATTGTTACGTGCCCGAATCGTCACCCGCTATACTACGGGATCGACCGTCTCGAATAGAAGAAGAGCGCGTTGCCTGGTGATGGGCGCGCTTCTGTTTTACGATTTTGAGAGAAGCTGTCGAAGCTGACGGACGAGTTTCTCTCTCTCGGAGTTTCTTTTACGGTTACAATTGTTCTGTGTTCTCTGTTCACAATAAATATCTTGTTTATTCCTTCTCTGACGCGTTGCTTATTTCGGCGACTCGGGTGTGCGCGTTCGCGACGCGAGAGTCTCCCGCCGAACGAACGCGCGAGTGTAACAATTTGGGGGCTCGTCCGGGATCGACTGTGACGAATGATCCGATCGACATACGCCTTGAGAAAGAGGGCTCGTCAGGAAAGTGCGGAGGATATGGAGCGGATCTCGACGGAACGTGCGCCGAACGTGTCTCCTCCGCAAGTCGCTCTACAGGAGACAACGCCGACAGTTCTTGCTCTTCAGGCCGTGCTCCGAGAGGTGCAACAGCTTCGCGAGAAGCAGCGACGATCCAGGGAGGAATGTCTGGAGACGGTGCGTCGGCGCAACGCCGAGATACAGCGGCTTCGAGAGGAGCTCCGCACTACGCAGATAAGTCCTCTTTATTCTAGAGATATTACCGCGACGTAAGTGACGGAAATGTCGCGCGTTTTCCGGCCAACGGGTGTGATACGAGTGCGCGGGGCCGCGTAGAATCTTGCGTTTCGTTTCGTGAAGCGACGCGATTTCCGTCCGTCGGAGGGAACGCTGTGAGAGAGCAAGAGCGTAACGAGGCGCGCGCTGCGTGTTCCGTAAATGTGGGTGAGCGGGTTGTGCCTCCGGCTCCGTTCCGCACAGAAGTAAGTGTCAAATTAAAACCTGACACTTATGATGGAAATGCTCCACTACGAGAATTCTTTGTGCAATTCAATTTGATCGCGTTCGCGAATCGCTGGGAAGGGAGAATAAAGACGGCTGTGTTGGTCTCATGTTTAAGAGGGAAGGCGCGTGCGGTGCTGGAGAATATTCAAAATTTGGAAAATTTAGAGTTCGAGGAATTAAAAGCGAAATTAGAATTGCGTTTTGGAGAGGCGCATTCTTTACAAAATTACTATATGCAATTTACGAATAGAAAGCAGAAATTCGGAGAGACTATCGCGGCCCTCGGTTCCGATATCGAAAGGCTGGCTCGGTTGGCTTATCCGGAATCGTCTGATACGATGTGCGATAAGATCGCTTGCGCGCAGTTCGTTTCCGCCCTCTCCGATAATTATTTGAAAAGGACATTGCAGCTGGAGGGGGTCGCGTCTCTGAGACTCGCTATCGAGAGAGCGAAGACAATTAGTTTGATACAAGAAAGTTGTTTTGGAAAGAAAAACGAAAATAATTTTAATTCAGAGAAAAGAAAAGAAAAAAATTTTAACGAAGGAAAAGACGGACAAGACGAGACTGATACGAAAGAGGAAAATGAAGAAACAAACACGAACAAAGATAATAAAAATAAAAAATTTTTTAAGAATAAAAATGATAAAAGAATCGGTAATAAAAAAGAATGTTGGGAGTGTGGCGGAGTGGGTCACTTCCGTTCGGAATGTCCTGGAAGGGCGGGGATGGAAAACACAGATTAGTCGAGCTTTACGGGGTCGGCTCGACTGAAAGAGAAAATACCCCGAGAAATAATAGTTCTATTTTTAATTCTTGTCTTTGTCAGTCTGATAATAAAATATGTATTTACGATACTGCTAACAATGATTCTTTCAGGCCGAATAAAGTTAAAAATAAAAATAATTTTAATAATGATGTTCAATGTTTCTGTTATAACAATCTTGATCTTTGTACTAATCAATCTTTTTCCAGATTGGGTAGAATTAGTTTTAATTCGGGAAAATTTTGTTATAAGTGTGAAGCTAATGGGAAACCCTGTGTTTTTAAGGTGGATACGGGCTCCGATATTTCGATTATTAATAAAAAATTTGTTGAAAATAAGGGGCCAGTAAAAATAATTAATTGTTACATCAAATATCCCACGGGGGAGCACGTTTTGTTTAAGTATGGTATGGTTGTGAAGGTTCAACTTGCGAAATACTGTTTGGAAATTTCGATGCTAGTCGTAGAAATAGATGACGATTGCATTCTTGGGGTCGATTTTCTAAAATTATTCAATTTGCAAAATGTTTTTGATTCGGTTTTTCTTGACTCTGAAGAGTTTGTCGGTGGAAAATGTTCTCGTATTAAAAGTTTTGCGGTTACGAATTTTCCATCTGAAATTTCTACAATTTTTAAGGAAGGCTGTCAGCATTTAAATGATTCTGAGGAAGAAAATTTTTTTGACTTTCTTAACGAATTTCGTAATACATTTTCAAATAATATCGTTGCAGGGAATTGCAAATTGGGGGAACATGTTATTAACGTTAAAGATTCTTCTCCTATTAAACAGGCTCCCCGACGTGTTCCCTTACAAAGGAGAGAGGAAGTTAATGAAATTTTAAAAGAAATGAGAGATCAAGGTGTAATTGAAGAATCCAATAGTCCATGGTCCTCACCAGTGGTTTTAGTTAAAAAGAAGGATGGAACAACTCGATTTTGTGTGGATTTTCATAAAGTGAACGCAATCACAGTAAAAGACTCATATCCTTTACCTCGTATAGACGATATCCTCGATCATTTGGCAGGTAATATTTGGTTTACTACCTTAGACTTAAAAAGCGGGTATTGGCAAATAAAGATTCGCCCGCAAGATAAAGAAAAAACGGCCTTTTCTGTTGGTAACGGTTTATGGCAATTTACGGTTATGCCCTTCGGTCTTTGTAATGCCCCAGCAACATTTGAACGCGTAATGGAACAAATTTTAAAAAAATTTCTTTTTAAAATTTGTTTAGTTTATCTGGATGATGTAATTATTTTTGGAAGAAGTGTTGAAGAAATGCTATCGAATTTGAGAAAGATTTTTCTCCGTTTTAGGGAAGTGAATTTGAAAATAAATCCTAAAAAATGTGTTTTTTTTAGTAAAGAAATAAAATATTTAGGTCATGTTATATCGGCAGAAGGTGTTTCTACAGATCCCCAGAAAATAATGGTGGTCAGGGAATGGCCAGTTCCGCTAAATAAAAAACATTTGAGGAGTTTCTTAGGATTCTGTTCTTACTATCGCAAGTTTGTTAAAGATTTTTCTTCTCTAGCCAAACCGTTATATGCATTAACGGAAAACCAAATTAAATTTATTTGGGAAGAGAGACATCAAGAGTCTTTTGATAACTTGAAACGGGTTCTTTCTTCTCCACCAATTCTGGCATTCCCTAATATTGAGGGGAAGTTTATTCTTGACACGGACGCGTCAAATCTAGGAATTCGAGCGGTCCTGTCACAGGAGCAACATGGTGTGGAAAAAGTCATTGCATATTTCAGTCAAGTGC